ATTAGAATAGGGTTTTTTGGGCCCGTTATACTATATCTATAATTTATAATAACGGACCCCCCCAAAATAGTATAGGCAATTAGTAAGGCCCCAATATTAGGGGTTTTTTGTTTTGAACACCGTAAGGGTTTAGGGTTTAGGGGTTTAGGGTTTAAGGATTTAGGGTCTAGGCTTAGTCTGGCTTCAAGGGTTTAGGGTTTAGGGCTTTAGGGGTTTAGGGTCTAGGCTGCGAGGGTTTAGGAACCCTAAACCCTAAACCGTTTACGGTCTTAGGTGTTTCGGGCCTAGGGTCTGGTGGCTTTGAAGTGATCGTGACGGGATGGTTGGAGGATCGACTAGGGATCTATAAGGGATCGATTGAGGCATCGATGAGGGATCTAGAGGAGATCTACGGTTGGAGGGGCTTTGGTTTTGGGCTTTGGGCTTTGAGGTTTAAGGGTTCAGGGTATGGAGGGTATGAAGGGTACAGGGATTGGAGTTTGGGGCTTTCGGTCCCTGGGTGCTCGCAGTCACGCCCTTCAAAGGGGGGGGGAGGGTCCCAAAGCCTCCGGCGCAGCGTGCTCTTAGGGTCTAGTGAGCCTTCAAGCTTGTGAGCTTTTATGTAACGTAGGGGCCTCAATAACTAGAATAGGGTTTTGAGGGTTCCAATTATACTATAATTTGTAATATACCCCAAACCCTTAATTTGTAATATACCCCAAACCCTGTTCTAACTTCCCCTGATTCATAAACCACCTCTCTGCTAGCAAAGCGTGTAAGACGCATGCTTGGGGAAAACTCCGACGGCAGTAGAGGGGCTTGAATATCATTGGAACACGTTTGGGATCGGATACCATAGTTATAATAAGAAAGAACCCTAAGGAGTTTAGGGTTTAGGGTTCAAGGTTTAGGGTGTAGGGGTTTAGGAGTCATGTCGAGAAGTAGTCAGGATTCTATACACGGCTTCCAGGGCATAGCGCTTGGGAGGGACTTGAGGTGTAGGATTTGGAGGGCGTGAGGCTGAGAGAGTCAGGCGTAGGGTTCCCCAGAACAAGGGCATGAGCGGGAGGATGCAAGTTTAACCCAAGCCCTAAAACCTACATCCCTTAACGCTAGCCCGCAGCTCATACGATCAGGGCCTTAAGAATCAGAGGCGGGTTCGGTGTATATTCTAGTATAATTATCATAAGGAACCCCCAAGACCCTATTCTAATTATTAAGGCCCCTACATGACTTCAGACGTCATCCCTAAACCCTAAACCCTAAACCCTAAACCTAAACCCTATACGACCCAAGACTTCCGAGCCTCCTCCGACGACAACGAGAGACTTCTGCAGCTATCTCTGCAACTTGATCCAAGCAGGGTTTAGGGTTTAGGGTTTAGGGTTTAGGGTTTAGGGTTTAGGGTTTAGGTTGGCAGGCAAAGGTGGGGTCCAATATAGGGGCCTTAATAACTAGAATAGGGTTTTGGGGTTTAGCATAGTATGATTAGAATAAGGAAAAGCCAAAATAGTATTGGTAAAACCCTCAACCCTAAACCCCTAAGCCCTAAACCTTAATTATTTAGGCTCCTAGATTAGGGTTTAGAGCGCTTTGAGGGTTTAGGCTTGCGCAGCCAGAGAGCTGTTGCCAGTGTCTCAGGAGTAGTCGTCTGCTTGGGGCATGCTGCAAATTTGAGTTTAGGGTTTAGGGTTTAGGGTTCAGGGTTTAGGGTTTGCACGGAGACATGGTAAGCCGAAATCTAGGGAACCGCTCTCTTAACAGTCTTAACACAGATTTAGCTGCGCTTCCTGAGTGAAAACTCGAAAGACCACTGACATGCTACAAGAGAGTCCACGAAAGGGAATGCCTGTGTTCACAGTTCTAGTGGCAGTAGTTTGCTGCCGCTGGCAAGTAGCAGTGGTGGTGGATCGACTCAAATAGAACAACAGCCTCATTTAAAAAGGATCCAAGAAGGAACCCTAATCTAGGCCCATATGAGCCTTTTGAGAGAAGCCCCTGCCATCGGCGGCTCCTTCCGGTCAATGACGACCTTCTGTCTGATCATCTGGCATTGCAGCGTCTGCTGCACTTGCTGGCGCACCTGCTTTGCCAAGGCGGAGGGGTCGGACCTCTTTGCCAACCGCAACAGGGAAAAAAAATCAAGAAAAACGAGAATGGTAGTCTTGTGCGGTTCTGAAGGGGCCACAATGCCGCAAAGAGGCATCCATTGAAGCAGTGCTGGGCTTTCATCTTACTCGAGCGCCGTGGGACACGTGACATTCACCAGAGACCAAGACCGAACTGAGGCTGGCTCAGAGATAAGTGCGTACGGATGTGCATGGAGTCGTGTGAGGTTGATCCTTCAAGCTCTAAGACTCTATGACTCTATGAACTATGGAGATCCTCTTAAACCCAACGACCGTGCATGTAAAAGATCGCGCGCAGTGAGTATGTACGGATTGCGAAATTGCGAAAGAAAGTCTCATTCTGGGTCACTGAGGCTGTTATACTACCAGCTACCCCGCCTTTGTTGAAGTTATGTAAGGCCTCTTATTAGGATGCAAAGCACATTCCCTCTTTGAGAAGTCCAGCAGCTGCACTTGCTGTTTTAAGGGTCAGTCCCAAACAGCCCAATAGACGCGCAAAAGAAGCCATCTCCCTTCAATCATCATTAGAGTTCGGTGTGAAGCTTCAGGAAAGAACCCTAAACCCTAAACCCTAAACCCTAAACCCTTACTCAAGGGGTCTGGCTGTTGTGGCGTCTGGCCCCCACAACTCTGTCGAGGCCTGGTCCCTTGCCGGGGCAGGCATCTGGAGCGCCATGTGCACGATGGACTGGACGCCTCCGCTCTACAAGTGTTGGAGACCGGGTTTAGGTTGGGGTTTTGGGGGCTTTCTTCGAGTCTAGGATTCAGCAGTTTGGGCGAGGATAAGCTTCGAAGACCAGAATTTTGAAGACGACGTTACGGGTGAAGGACCCGGCCAGTTGACCGTAGCTCCTTCAGCGTCAGGAACCCGAGGTTGAGGGAGCCAATTCGGGTAGCCTCCGTTCGCAAGGACACAACTCTCATCATAGGGTTTCGGGTTTCGGGCTTTATGGGTTTAGGGCTTAGGGTTTAGGGTTTAGGGCCTAACCCTAAACCGGTACACCAAGCCTCTGAGGCTCCCACACGGTGGCATCACACATCAAGCCATTCACTCAAGATCACACGTCACCGCGGGCTCTGCAAAGACACTGCAAGAGGCCATGACATACATGATGAATACAAATCAAGTGGTCAGAGCTGGCAGCTAGCACCTGACTTGCTGCAGCCGGAGTGTTTGCAGCAAAGGTGAAGACCGCGTTGCTGGCAGCACCAAGTCATTTGCTTGGCGAACTGATGTATGCGAAAATGGCAGGCCCGGCGCACAGCTGTATGCCAAGCGGCGGGACTGTCCAAACTCGCCGGTGCATTGCACTCCATGCTAAGACACCGACCGGCCACCCAAAACTGGCTCGAGCAATCGAATTAGCATAAGGCTGTTCGGTTCAGCCTTGTGTGTTAGACTGCCTCCGTTTTGAACGAGACCAGGACCTCACATGCAGTTCTCGCTGGTGGCCTCGGACTCCGTGTAAGACTCGGACTCGCTGCTTTGGGTCCTGCCCTTCTCGAAGCTCTGTGCCGGTCCATGGAACATCCCACCCATCTCGGACCAGTAGTAGCAGGGGCTCAGCAGCGCCCAAAACATTACATAGCCCGCATGGACCTGGAAAGGCAGCAGCGCATCCTGGATCGGCTTGTAAAAGCAGAAGCCTGCAATCACTGCCCCGAGATTTCCACCGGCACCCACAAGCGCGGACACAACGGCAAGTTGCTTCCTGTTCATAAAAGGCACGATGCCGTAGGAGGTGCCCTCCGCCATCTGCACAAAGAGCGAGAAGCAAACCAAGACTGCCAAGGCCACATACCAAGGTTGGGAATTGTCCACCTTGCTGAAGCTGAAAAGGAAGATAGCTTCGAAAAAGAGTGCCAGGAACTGAGCCCAAATGCGGCCGCGGAAGCCGAAGTACTTGTAGCAAATGTCGCTGCTGATGCCTCCCAGCGATCTTGCGAAAAGATTCATCAGGCCGAAAGCACCCGCCAGGGCGCTGGCATCACCTGCATCCATCTGGAAGTATGTCCGAAAATGTGTGGCCAACTGATTGTTCATTGCGAGCTCTGTGCCGAAGCATGCGGAATATTGGAATATCATGACCACGACACGAACGTCGCGCAGCACCTCGACATAGTCCCACATCGAAGGCTTTTGTGTCTTGCCGGTCACGGTCGGATCGTAGTTGCGTGCCGTAGGCATATCCCAGCACATGAGCTTCATGCAGATGGCACAAACTACGAACATGACCGCTGGCACCACCATGGAGACACGCCAAGCGACATTCGGCTCCATTCCGGAGGCCACCATAGGATTGAAAAGTACTGACATCATGAAAATCTGGGTCACGCCACCTCCCAGGTTGCCCCAACCGGCTGCGGTGGCGTTGGCCGTGCCGACAACGTTGGGCGCAAACATCAGCGAGCACCAGAACTGATTGGTCACGAATGTGGCGCCAGCGCAACCTGCCGGAGGTATACAGGGGGGCGGGGCGGCAGGAAGACTGGCACTCTTTACAACTTGATACCGCGAGCAGTAGTGATAAGAATAAAGCAATGACAATAACATAATATCAATCACAACATTGTTAACAGCGAAAGCCACTGGTCTGAGAAAATATGACGAAAGCTGTAAAACTCACCGTTAGCTATGTCAACAGAATACTGCTAGTCTTGACCAGAAGTCTCGCGACATCCCCCGACTCTGTTGCAGGAAGGGTGACATGGACATCATGGACACTTCCGTCGGCCTATGAAGAAACGTATCAGCGTGTAGTTCCATGGAGCCGTAATGGCGGCCGCCATGGCCACCCAAAAAGCCCCGAAGGACATTAAGCCGCACTGAACGTTCACCTCAGGCAATGGCGGCACTTGGGGGTGCTGACCGCTTGGTAATAACTAGCAGATGAATTAGCAAGTTCGGGAAGTGGGTCTTGTTGCCAAGTCACGGGGCCAAAGCGCTCTAGGAGCGTCCCCAAGGCCACCCTCACGAAGATGGTCGAGGCAACCGAGGCCACGCCCGCGTTCGCAATCACCTCTCTTCTCCAATACCCGGGCCCAAAAAAAGTTCAAGCTTTCTATCATAGACCAAATATATAGGCCAAAAGCTTAGAGTTCTCCCATTAGCTGAGTAGGTCACCGACTTGCACTC